GAAAAGTGAAATATAGGGACATACACGTTTATTTATATATATATATATAGATTATTATAAGATGAACTAGCTTATTAATTTTAAAAGTGAGTACTTTAAGATATTAAGTTTTGAAATATTATATGATACTGGCTTTATATGATGATGATGATGATGATGTACATTAAAAGTTTTGATACAATATTTTGAAAATAAATAATTTTTATTACTACTAGAAATTGGAAACCTCATTGAAAATAATTTTCCAGTTTTTGTACAGTAGAAATAGTAAAAATCATTTATTTTATACAGTCGACCCCCCTATAACACTGTTGATAATTCCATTTTATATGAATTCCATGTTGTACAAGTCACTTAGATTTTACAAATACATGAGCCATTCACAGCCCGGCACACGTATTTGTAAAATCTAAGTGACTCGTACAAGATGGAATTCATATAAAACGGAATTATCAACAGTGTTATAGGGGGTCAACTGATATACAGTATATACAGTAGAGTATCAATTATCCGAATCAATTGGGGACTGGGGTTGTTCAGAAAACTAATTTTTCAGATAATCGATTATTTATGAAAAAATATATTAACCTATCCCATGTTGAAATTCGTTCAAATCCTGGCATGTCCTTAAGTACCCTTTCATGGTCATGCCAGTTCTGCCAGCTAAAACATGCACACCAATAAAAATAATATTGGAGTAGCCCAAGACATAGCCAAAGATTGCAGAGCCACAGCACTAATGGAAATTTTAATTTGCCAACTGGAAAGCTTTTGGTTAATTGACGTTTCAGTTGATCAACATTCAGATATTCAATGCTCTACTGTATATTTATTTTTCAACATAATCATTTAAAGTGGCATTTTTCCAGTTCCTGCATGAAAAATCTTTCAAGTTTTTCTCTCAATCCAATCCTTTACAGAATACTGAACTTTGAACAGTGTTGAAAAGTGTTGTCTTTAAACATCATCTTTAATTTTGAAACAAGTAGAAATCTAATGGTGCCAAATCTAGGTTATAAAAATAATAGGGAATAACGTCTAACTTCATTTTATTTCAAATCTTTCTTAACGCCTAGATCTGGCACCATCAGATTTATTATTTCCAAAATGATTAGAGTTTGTAAAAGATCAATGCTTTTGTTGGATGCTAAAGTTCAAACTGCTATAAATGGAACAAATAGTATAGAACAGTTTTTCATGCACAAAATGTAAAAATGGATATGTTTGAATAAAATAAATCATTTTATTGCTTTTTAAAACTGTCCATATTACTATCTCTTCCCAATCTAATTTTATTATAAAAATTGGAGACCATCATTCATTTCTTTCCTCATACTTTTTCAGTTAAAAACATTCCATTCATCAACTTTGTAAAAATATATCGTTTTATTATTTATATTCAAATTATAAAGTCAGAAAGAAAAATGAAATTAAAAGAAGATATATTTGATTATATGATGAATGCTATGTTAAAAAAGAATAACTTTGAATTTTATAGAAAATTTTTATTACTACTAGAAATTGGAAACCTCATTGAAAATAATTTTCCAGTTTTTGTACAGTAGAAATAGTAAAAATCATTTATTTAATACAGTCGACCCCCCTATAACACTGTTGATAATTCCATTTTATATGAATTCCATGTTGTACAAGTCACTTAGATTTTACAAATACATGAGCCATTCACAGCCCGGCNGGATTGAAGTTTTGTTCAGTGATGAAAAACAATTCATCTTAGATAGTCCAGACGGTTGAATGTATTATTGGCACGATTTAAGAACCGAAAAACAAATATTTTCAAAACGCCAAATGGGTGGGGGATCAATAATAGTGTGGATGCGTTTGGATTCACAGATTTAGCATTTATAACTCAAAGAATGAATTGAAAGAAGTATCGAGGCATGCTTGAAGATCATTTATTGGAAGCTGAACCAAATATTTATGGGCCAAATTGAAGCTTTTAACAAGACAATGCCCCTGTGCATGCCTCTAAATCAACAAAAATGTGGTTTAAACGTAAAAATATTAATCTGATGACATGGCCTGCTAGAAGCCCTGACCTGAATCTGATGGAAAATCTTTTGTTGATGATGGTTCGTACAGTTTATCCAATGGAAAACAGTTTTCCACAATTCATCATTTGAGGGCAGCAATTTCAGATGCTTGGGATAAACTTAAGATTGAATTCCTTCAGAATCTAATTGAAACAATGCCTAATNCGTTTCTTAATAATATTCACCCCATCCTGAGATAAGCAAAATAGATGCCCACACACACACGCGCGCGAAATATTTTTGCCGTTTTTTTCTTTTTTGAATTCGAGATCTGAAAACGTGGAGATTTGCAAAAATCAAATTTGACACACGATTCCAATATTTTCCCTTACATAAACAGCGGGAAAGTAAAAGACCGATTTTCTTTACAGTGATGGTTTGAAACTTAACTCGCGGTATTAACGAGGTCTGCTTGTAATTGATTTAAAATAAATGTAAATAGTTAAGGCAAAGTACATTCATCCATACATGTCACAAAAATGGAATTATTTCGGAGCCACGAAAGAAACTAATAATAATATATAGTTTGCGAATATCAAAACTAATGCACACGCTCTGCTGAATTACAGTATTGGCAAACTTTTTTCCTGTTTAACATGTGTTTCTTAATTATATAATTTGTATCTATACTTTTGTTCCTTTCTTATTTCTGTAATAAGTACACACAATATTCTTCCATTACTGTCTACGTATCACTATCGTTGGAAAGGAGCCTCCGTAGTGACGGAGATGGAGAAACAGACAGTTTTAATTGACGAGAAAGTAACATTCTAGCTAAATGATACGTAAAGGGACCCATAAGTAGAAGAGCAATAGGACAAACCTTGCTTATGAATGCGGAGGGAGGAACCTAGTTTGCAGGAATACAGAGTTCCTAACTTTTTTATCGAAATAATAAAATTTGAAACCAATAAAGTCACTATTAATAAAAATACCTATAAAAAGACTAATTACATTGAAAAATCTAAGAATGTTCTGTTAATTCACGCTTTCTTGCAGTCTTTCCAATGCTTGATGTCCTGAATTTATAGTCTAACATGGTCCCGATCTTTTACACTGTTTCAATCCGGGGTAACAAGTTTTACACCGGATTCGAACAGTGTAAAAATTATACAAACCTTCCAATATAATCACTATTCTTGACGGAAACTGTTTTAATTAAATACAATAGGGATTTCAGATGTTTGTAATTATTTATGCTAATTCTTTCTGTTTTTTTATATTTAATACCAACTCTTATAAGTTTAAATATACATTTTTATATATAAATCTAATATTTTTTTTTACATTTGAAATTTAAAAACCGTTCTATGTAATCGAATTCCGTTGTTTTTTCTAAATATTCTGAAGCAGCTGAAGTGTAACAAGAAAAAGTACTTAAAACTAAAATTTTATTTTGAATTTGGTATCGTCGGTTATTAAAAATGATGTATGAAACATACTTAGCCCCAACAAGTTTCAACACTAATATACTCACTTACAATTAACAATATACACACATCCGCATAGTTGTTAATTACATCTATTTAAGAAGTATCTTTGTTGTCTCATTTAGGTAATTTAAGGAGACGATGTATGTCAGATTATCCTATTGATAATGCTGTAACGGTAAACGTTAGTAATAAGTGCGTGTTAACTGGAGAGGAGAAAACAGAATTTACACTTTAAAATGTTCAATAAATTACCTAAAAATTTTAAAATTCAAAAATTCTAAAACAAATTACATAAACGAATTTTTGTTGGGATTAATTAGTAAATTTTAACCATTGCTCAAATCAAAGAGCTTCTCGGCTATAAAAATACAATAGTATATTAAATGCATTTAATCCTTAAATTCGTGTTTTCCCATGTTACATAGATTTAATGTTAAGATATTTTTGTACACTTTATGAAAGCACAACATGCATGGTATACATTTACATTTACATGGTATATATTAAATAAATATTTAAAATATTAATAAATACCTCATTGTACGACTCAGTTAAAGCAGTAATTGGATTTGATTTTGATTTTGCAAGTTCTAATATACAATCTACTAATGCCAAAATAAAATTTAATTTTGCTAGAGTCTCATTATGTTCTCTCTGTAGTAAAGTTTCCTCGGGTAAATCGGGAGCAGTGAACAAAATTGGGCCTTCCATATTGGGAGGAGAAGTACCAAAATACATAAAACCCGGACCAGTTGGAGATGACGAATCTGTAAACAATCTACCACTGGAAATGGAACTTCTTCGAGTTCTTCCTGGAGAGTTATGTGGGCTAAGAGGTCCAGATATATGACATTGATGATGATGGATATGATGGTGACTGTAAGGCATCATACTTGTGGGAGGACTTGGTGGCACTGCTGAAAATATAATTCTTATTTTTAAAAATAAAACTTAGCTAACATTTCATTAATTAATGATTCATATTAGAAATATAGCAAAGATTATAATTTTTTTCATTTACTATAGTAGCTATTTTATATCTGTAATGAATTCCATAATCTAGGAAAATATTTAGTTTTCAAATTATTCTGTTCAGCTAGAATGTAAAAAATACATATTGATTTTATAAGTTGTGTAAACTATATATTTAATACATGATAACTGTCATGAAAAGAAACTCTTCTTTTCATGAAACATCTTTACAACAGAATCTACTTATCATAATCACTTTGGAATTCATCTACACTGATAGCATTAAACTGAATAAGTAAATAAGAGTACAATTACTGGAAATTCTGCTTTCGTTGCTAACATTTAAAGTGAATGTCAAACATTTTATTAAAATTTCAATTTATAAACTATTTTATTAATAATATGTAATACATCCAGTATTGTTTGCATGCTATCAGCATTAATAACAGCTAGCAAATAATTGAGGAAAGAAAGTCCAGTAATTCAAATGTACTGTGAGTAAACAATGATCAATATTTAATATTTAAATAAAGAATTTAGACTGATAATGGTTTACATGTTATCAGTGTATTAAAGTTTATCTGCAGAAAATATTATTATTAATACTGAAATTGATTACAGTAAGTAAAGTTTTATTAGGTATTTTTTAATTTATAAATTTTATGACATGCCAATTCCAATAACATTAAATGACTGATAACAAAATACAGAATAGCAAACAGAGTCTACTATATTATATATTTATGAAGCTACATTAGCCTTAGCCTTAATCATTCATATGAAATATTTAAATGTATAAAGTTGCAAACTCTCAAATAAATAAATAAATAAATTTTGATATTAAGTCATACTTAAAATTTAATTCTCACTGTTTTTATAAACAGTGAGAATTAAATTATTTTAAGTATGACTAATATCAAAATTTATTTATTTATTTATTTGAGAGTTTGGAACTTTATGGAGAGTTTGGAAAAAAGGGGCACTTATAATCAACTGTTGTGATGCAAATGATTGATTTTGATTCTAATTGCCATCTATCTATTTTTGAAGGTGATTATTACTATTAATTTGCTCTGCATTATTTTAAATTACTACATCTGTCTTGCTATCAATCACATTTTATTTAAAGTTTTTGGCATATAGACTAAATAATTATAAGCAACAGATAAAGCCAATACAGTTTATAATGAATATGATAAAATTTTATAAATTACAAAAAAATTGAGTATATATAATGATGTAATGCTAAATGCCAGTGTTAGACTGCTAAATATAACCAAGAGCTGAAACTCTAGTAATTATTTCTAAAAATATTAAATAATGCATAATCCCATTTTAACTTATACTGAGGGAATCTTCAATGTTTTACAAAAATACTTTAAAACAGTACAATACAGTTTCATAGTATTTAATGTGTGCAAGTTTATCAATGAAAGCATTTGCTTTACAGTTCTTTTTAAGCATGAAACATTAAACTTTAACATGTATAGTAATCAAAGTTAACTGTAAAACTAAAGCATTTATACTAAAAATAAATTAAATTAAGAATAACTTGCAAACATATATAATAGATATTTTTATATGACAGCCAGCATGCCAACTATTTTTTTCTTTTAAACCATAAATACTTTTAATCATAATGTTCAAGTAAAAACAATACAAGAAAAAAGTTATAGTAGACTTTTCACAATTGGAAATGCTATAAAAAAGAGTTATTAATAATACAATGTTTGTTATTAAAATTGTGAATGTTTTTGTAGTACATTGATTTTGATAATGAAATAAAAGTACATTCTTGGAACATATTCAAAATATAATAAAAGAATAAAAAATATATATACTGAAATCTGGGTTACTAAATTATATTTAAAGTAATGTTTAATGCATTTTTTATGTTTTATTTTGCTTTAAATGCATATACTTCATTAAACTTTTATAATTCATAAATAAAAACTTTAATGGTAACTTTCTCCAGAAAAAATATTGTGTAATTAGTTATATAGTAAACAAATAATTATAAAAATAAATATATGTTTGCCTAGAGATAGATATTATAAATATATGTTTATTTAATGTACAGTACATGTAATTAATAGTAGTTGATAAGACAGAAGAATCAAAAATGTTGACTTAAGCAAGTTTACTACATTAATTTGCAACTTGCAGGTTAGCGAGCAGGCTTAAAATGGTTGGTATTTCATTGTGATATATGATTAATCTAACTTAAACTATTATCATCAGACCACAAGAATGAGAGTGAGAATGAACAATTATGGATAAATTGATTTGCCTGTCACCAAAACATTCATAACAGTGCATAACTATTAAGCATAAACCTTGTATTTCTTTAAAAAAAAAATATTAAACAATGTATGAACTATAACCAATTTAAATTTTAAATGCTAATAATATTACCTCCAACTATATGGGAACCTCTCCAATGTATTTGATCTATAAGCTTTCCAGCACTACCAGATCTTTGAATACTATTGTTAGAATATTCTAAAGATTCTCTTGTATTTCCTGAAAAATTTAAAAGTATTTGTTTAAATACATTCTTTCCAAAATTACTCTTTCAGATAAATTAAAAGAGAATTAAGTTATTTAAATTTTAATTAAAATTTAGCAACAAAATAAACAATTAATATTGATACACAGAACAATATATTACATAATTTATGTATTTTTTACTTATAATTGTTAAAGTTAATAGATGGAAAGATAGATAAATTATAGTGATTAAAATTATATCAAAATTATATAAATATGTTATTTAATAAATTATAGATTTAAGTAAAATTCATGTAAAATAACTATAAAAAATAAACAAAATAAACTAAAAAGTATATCTTGAAAAATAATCAACAGAATGAAAATATAAAAGAATGACAGATAAACAGTCAGAAACAATGTAAAAAAACTGATATAATAATTTTGATCTAATTTTTTTATTCTAATCTCCCTGTTGGATACTTAGTCAAGCTAATGCAGTAACAAATACCAATAAATTTCATATGGAATAAACCTTATGTCAATTAGTTAACCATGCATTATAATTGTTCTACATTCAATTTTGTTTTAATACTAAACAAAATTTGTTTATATGTTTAACATAAACAAATTTTGAATTAAAAATATCAGAAATGCTAAAACAATATTTTAATATATTTCTCAAATTATAAAACATTTTTGAATCTAAATTTAGATAAAGACTTTTGCATGTTATGCTAATAAAATTCAATTGATATTTGTTTTATTAACTTCAGAAGATGATCTATGATAACAAGAGTAATAAGACTAAAATGATAAAGTTAATTTTGATGTTACAAACTACAAAATTTCAAGAGTTTATTACATTATATAATATTTGTTACATGGCTAGTAATTACTATTAATTAAAAGTTATAATTAATATCTTGGCCAAAGACGACTTTAGTTTCCATATAATATGTAATTATTGAATATCATTTTTAAACAATAAGACCACAATTTTATGACTATTCTATTGCCATCAACCAGAAAACACTGGATTATTCTATTACAAGCTATTACATAAAATACGATTTTATTTATTATTAATAGAGAATCAATTATATGATGGATATGAGAAAGTAATTGCAATATAGAAAAAAACATCCTCAAAAAATAGAATTCAAAAATGGAGTTTTCAGCCAGAATTAATATTGGTACATTTTAAAATGTTTAAATAATGCATAAGATTAGCTTCAATTACAAAAGCTATTTATTCATTTACACTTTTAATCTGTTGTTGTGCTTTAACCTAGTAATTTAACATAAAAAAACCTATTAGAAAGTCTATGGTAACTAATTAGAAAATGATAATAATAATAACAGCTTAATGTTACACTTGTTTGTGTAGCTATGCTTTGACTTTAGTCCAGCAAAGCACCTGGCACAAATATCATCTGAGCATGACATTCACAACATAATAATAAGCAAAAATGCTCATTTCATGACTTAGCTGGGCCCATCATTTATAATATAATTCCAAACTTGCACAAAAGCTTTAAATTATTGTGTAAATTTAAATTTATATAATACACATTCTGAACATACATACACTTATATTTGTACATTAAGTTGAGTGGTTCTATTATGAATTCCAAAACGAAATATTGAGATATTCCCTTATGAAAAAAAGAAAAATTATATGATAATGACTCAGTTTTTCTTATATTAACACCTTAAGAGTTTGTGCCATTTCTCACACAGTTTTCCTGTTCTATTGAAGTTTGCTTTTTGTACAAAATCATGCACTAAATATATTTTTTGTACAACTTTAAATTCTTTCGGTTTCTAGAGATTTTAAAATTAATATTAGTTTTTTAAGAATAATTAAGAATAAAAGAGTTAATTCTGCTAAGTATGATAAAATACACTCCTCAAAAGTGAAATTGCAGCACCATGAACGTGCATATCCACATGCACTTTGTAGAACTGGTAGAAGTGACAGAGATACGCAAATGGTTAAAAGAACAAAGATATGCAACAGCTACATAGAAAGCTATACAGCAAGGTATACTATCAATGTGGTGATTAATAATATTTATGAAATAAAATTATTATTATTAAAAATAAGAATAATATTTTGTGAACCACATGTGGACGCAGTGTATCGGAAAGCAGGCCAATCACAATCGCTCTCATTAATGCACATGTGTTGCTTACGTTAATTATTATATTGTTAAAATATGCAAGGGTAAAATGTTATTTACATTAATTTTTGGAAATATCACAGATAATGTAACTAAACTTTAAATATAGAAAAGAAAAAAAGACAAAGTTAAATTAGGTTAAAATTGTGGTTATGGTATACTGTATGTGTATGATTCATTCGAATTCCAAAAAAAAAATTATAATCAGTTTTTTAAGCTAAAAAACATAGTAATTAGGGCAAAAATTCCTCATATTAAACTCCATTTAAGAAAGTTTATAACCTTAAGACAGAAATAAAAATCATTGTAGATATTTTATTTATTAAGATTATTGTTCTAAAATTATAATTTTTAGTTAGTGTGACATCAGCCTACAAAATTTTTTACAGACTGGCTGTGGACCCAAGGTTGAAGAACACTGGTCTGCAGTATGTGGCAGTGGTCCCTGTCGCACCTGATGTTGGATGAGGTCCCACAAGTATTTTATGGGAGAGAAATCCAGCAAGTATGCTGGGCAGGGAAGGAAGTGAATTCTGTTCAGGCTGGTAAGAGTTTGCTGTGTAACATGCAGTCAGGCATTGTCTTGCTCAAACTCCATATCTGATGAGGCCTGCACTAATGGCTGAACCACAGGCCCTATAATTAGTGTGACATACTAGTCTGCTATCAGAGTACCGGAAATGTGCACCAGGACTGTCTGCTATTCAAACAATGTCCACACTGAGTATCATGGTTTGGCTCCAGTGTGACATTTGGCAAAAAGAGCTGGCATGTAACATTTCCTAGGATACTGCCACACTCCTCCACAGCTGTCATTTCTCCACAGACAAAAGTAGGAATCATCCATAAACCATACCTGATGCCATTCAGTGGTCCAGCCCTATATCAAAAGGTTAATAACACCCTTGTTGCTGGTTGCTGTGCATGCAACCCAATTTCTTGCAACCTGTTGCAAATGGTTTGGGTGGACACAGATGCATCTGTTGACAATTGACAGGTAGATTTGGATGCCATGGTAAACAGGTTCTGATGGGCTGTTCAGCAAATCTATCTGTCTGTGCACTCTATCACATACCAGTACAATCCACTCCTTCGACATGTTTGCAGATGTTCTGGTGTCCATCATGTCACACATTGCTGGATGGTAAGTACATTGTGTCCAATAGGCATGGCTACTGTACACATCAATAAACCAAAGCTGCATGGCTTAACGATACAGTCTCATTCTCCAGCCATTAACTGGTGATATTCAGCCCACTGTTCTCTCTGAGGCATTTTCTGTGCTTTTTGAAAGTTCAGCTGCCATAAACTGTTGCTGATAGCATTTATAGCATGAGCTAGCTACTGGTCTTTATAGCCTGAAACTGTGTACCACATAATCTAATGAGTATGCAAACTTAATCATTTGCATACCGCTGTTACTTCTATCGATCCTGCAATTTGCATGTGGCTAAGTGTATTCCTTAATGGTGTTACAATTTCACTTTTGAGTAGTGTATAAATGCATCATCACCAAATTTCTAGAACTTATTTTTTCAAAAATTCATGTCATATTGAACATTTGATGATTTGTATGTTAGATCAGTATGAAGTAATTAGCAACTAAAGCAATTAGTGCTCAAGAATTAAAAAAGTTAAACCATATTTAGTGATATTTCGTGATGAAATAATCAAATAATAAAATATCATTTAGCATCCATATTTACAAAAATAAAAATTTTGATAAAAAAATAAGCAAAATAGATATCAAACCTTGAAATATATCTTTTGAATTTAGATCTGGAATAGTCATAGTTTTGTTTCCATAACTAGCATGAATTGATGATACTAGATTAACATTTTTATAATGTTCAATTTCTTTAGTAGAAACAGGAGACATTCTATTAGCTACATCTAATGTTTTTGATTCTACTGTCGATATTTCTCTAGCAGGTGATGCTAAAATTGGTGACAGAGGATTTCCATGTCCAGTGGTTGAAAGATAGTTTGATACAGGCGGAACAATAGTGCCTAAAAATACATATACTAAGTAAATTTTATTAAATATTTTTTTGTTTCTTTTCATAACATAATAAAGAAATTATTATTTAACACAAAATTTACCCATGTTTGTTTATTTTGAATATTTATTGAATTGGAACAACTTACAATTTCCAGAATAAACTTATCCAATTATTGAAAAGAATTTCTGACAAAAAAATTATCCTTTCATTGTTCGTTACAATCAAAATTTTTATAAAAAATGATGTTTTAATAGAAGTATCATCTGAATGCAATTTAAGAAAAAAATTTCTGAAGCATGTAATACGTAATATCTTAAAGCAACTGGTTTAATAAAAATTTTATTTAAATAAAAATATTCTGCAATTGTTATTGTTATTATTATAAGGAAAAATCTTTGTGTAATATTGAATGTTTATATGAAATAAGCCAACAACTACTGAATTATATAGGGCTATTATAACACAATATCTAATTATGCTAATATCTTAATATAGGAATACTAATAATACTAATATCTTAATATAAGAATAGAAAACATTAGAATTATAATATATACAGAAATTCTAAATATAATTTTTCTAAAACTACATATTCACTTCTGAAATATAGACACGTAAATTGTGAATTAACCAGTACTTAAAAATAATTTTAAATACCTGAACGACGAATAGGAGATACAGAGAGTGATGTAGGAGGTGGTGTTATAGACTGACGTAAAGAAATAGAAGGTCTCCATGTTGCTAGTGGAGGACTTTCACCACTGAGACTTCTTCTTCTAGTGCCTAATGGAAGCGTTCCAGTAGTAAACTGAACTGTTTAGGCAAAAAACACAAATTATTCACTTAATCTATGATATGCCTGTTTTATAGTTACAGTTGACCCCCCTATAAGATATAGATACGTTCCAATTTATTAGGAATCCGATTTCTTACAAGTCGTTCCAATCACTGCCCGAACGTGTCAAGTTTACGGACTACGGCTGATTGAAAGGTTTTCTTCCATAAAATTAATCGATTCTACACTAATCTGACTCAACATTTCCAAAATACGTATATTTTTTCGTAGTTTTATAGGAATCGTAATTATAGGGACCGTAATTATAGGGGGGTCGACTGTATTGTAAAATCTTACCAGAGGGAGGTGATAAAGAGCTAATATCCGTTATTTTTATACTATTATCAATTGGTTGAGAACTAGGTGACTCTCTTTGAGAAAATGGAAGCTGGTAAAGAAGAAAAATCATAGTATTAAATCTTCATTTTATAAAAATTCAATGATAATGATAAAAGTTTTAAATACTTTTGGTGTTATGGGTGATGAAGTAGGAGATGGTAAGACATCCATTATAGAATGAGATTTTTCATTTGATTTTTGTGAGGATGACGATGAATCTTGTAAACTCCTCTGTATTTGTTGGTAAGCCTCCTTTTGCGATGGCACCGGTATTGGTTCCGAGCGTGGCTGAGTCGGACTACCTATTGGAGATATCATAGGAAGAGAATTTGACCGAGTACACTCGGGTGAATTCTTGTTGTGCTCTTGAATCGTAAAATCATTATTAGATTGCATTTCAATGTCAGCTGTACATTTTGGTGGTGTGTTGGCCATAGTAAGAGTCCTATTAATTGAAATATTACCATCTTAGTCTAAATACATTAAAAATTAATGCTGAAAAATTAATTTTAAAATTTAAAAAATATCGTACAAATATTCAAATATATTAAAAATGTTTATTATAATTTACTTATATATAATATGTAATTTTAAATAAAATTTTAAAATTACTACAAAGCAAAGTCAACAGCAAAGTCTCTCAAATTAAGGAAAATTATTATTTAAACATCTAGATAAACAAACATAAAAGATTAACATTGTAAACTAACAATATATCAGAAGCAGGAATCAAACCTGCAAATGATTTCAATCATTTTTCAACAATACAATATTTGTTTTCTTGATAAAATGTTTATGTTAAATCCTTCTCTCTTCTATTTACATCATAAATATTTTTCTACTTATATATAACAGAATCTTGGCACGATATCTTTACTACGACCTTGGAGAGCATCCAATATAAACAGATTCAAAAGCTGTAGTCAACATTTGTAAATTTCTCCATTGAATCCAAATCACAGTCAATATTTTCATTACCTCTCGAGTATCAATCGCATCGTTCTTCTTATTTTTAGAGCGGAGAAGAAAACAGAAAGGAAGGTGAAAGTGTTTTAGAAATCTCTTAAACTTTAAAAAGACAGATAATTTGTCAAAACAGATAATGTTGGACATTTTTCAGAAATTGTAAGAATTTATTTCTAGAAAATTAAAAAGTAAAAAAATGAGAAAATTTGATATAGGATAACAGTTTCTCAAGTAAAAAAAGTTTCTCAAATAAATTTTTAAATAATATGAAAATTTAGTGTTTTATTCTTTAATTGTTAATATTACAGATAATTTTCTCATGCGCTCATGTTTGTTACACTTCAAATATTATAATGCCACCATATCTGAAAACACATATGAAGAAATAAAAATTTTATTTAACAACACAAGAGTTAAATCTACCGAGACTTCATCACCACTAAACAGGAAATGACAGCACAATTTTTAATTAATCTCGTTTTATAAGCTTTAAATTTGAGGAATAATAATAATACTGAAAGAAAAACTGGGTTTTATCTAAAAATCCAAATCCTGGTAATAACTTGAGAGTAATCTCCAGTTATTACTTGTATTGCTAGTTACACTACCCAAACCTCTGTGTGAGCCTTTTAGACTTAAATAATTTAGATATAACCATACTGCTTATGCATAGTGCCAACTTGGCAATGCATCTGCATAATATGTGGGAATTGTGGGTTTAAGTCCCACTCTGGGCCAATTCTTTTCTTCCAGAACTTTCTAAATTAAAAATTAAGTATTAACTTATTTACAATTATTAAATTTATCAAAATATGATGTCTAACCACCTACATCTAGGCAAAATTATTTTATTAAATAATAGCTATATTATAGCCTGATATAATCTGGCATATCATTCTGTTCTAATATTTCTGAAACTTCAACAGATTTCTGTGTATATTACCTACCAGATAATTGTCCCACTAAATATTAAACAACTCTCTAGTATATTTGGAAATTATTATAATATTTAGAGAATTAGAAATGAGTTCAAATGATATAGTTAAATAAAAATAAATTATGTTTATAATGTTAAATTGGAATATAACAACATAGAAATTTTTTAACTATTAGTAAAATTATTATTTCTAATGAATAAATTCTTAATAAAAGTGTACAAACACAGAATACTTAGCCAAATATTTTTAGTTTTAAAAATTAACAAAAAAGAAAATGAACTTCCTCAACAATGACAAGCAGTAATTTTTAGTGGAGTCATTGCTTTAACTACATCAAGTTTTTTAGAATACCTTATTTATAGCATAAATTTAACATTACATTGTTTAAATAAAGAATTTTAAAATTCTTACAATTACATTTAAAATATCATTTACAATGACAGATTTTACTGAACATTGTAGAATTAGAATAATTAATTTAGTCCATCAATGTTACAAAATTTTGTTAAAATCATATTCTTTCCTAATCATATTACGAACATTTTCTACTTAACTCAAAAGAATCTCGACAAAACATTCTTACTACGACCTTTTATTTTCTTGTAATAAGTCCTCAGCATTTGCACAAGAAATGCAAGTACAAAAATAAATAAAACAGATGAGAAATCAAAACAGGTAAACTAACCTAGTTAAGTAGTAGCCAAAATTATGACTAAATTACTTATATTTTATCCTGAATTATTAAGAGAAATGTCAATTATGTAAAATGAACATTTTAACTTAAACTCTTGCATTAAAACTTATACCTATAGTAAAACATCTAAATTTTGAGTTTGAAAGAATCAAAAAATGCCTAGTTTGAGTTATGCAGAGTTTTACAGGTATATGAAAAATGGAAAGCTTTTATTCAAACAAAGCAGCAGAATAACCTCTTTATGCTACATTGAAGTTATTCAAAAGTCAAGTTTTGTATAATGCATTATATAAATTATCTTTAAGAAAATATCTACAGAAAAATTTAAGTAGTTTACAAATAGATCTTTATTGATATAAAAGATTGCAAGTTTTTAAAACACTAAAGACAAAATTGAAGATGGCTGCTAAAAACAAAGAACACTGGTCTAAATGTAAACATAAATTTTGAGAAAATTAATGTTCTCCAATGGAAATTAAAAGGAAATCACTAAAATAAACTTTAGATACTACAGTTTCCCTTCACTGCCTACTGTGACAAAAACCTGCTAACATTTCTGACGAATGGAGAACATAACTTTTAAGCTGCTCGACAATGCTACAGGAAAGTAATATAGTGAATTTTCTGCTAAATTGGCAACATGATGTCATTGGCTTGCTTATCCAGCTGTATTAAAACTGCTTAAACCAGGCAATGCACTAAAAGGAATTTCAAAACTTAACAAGTTGATTGTCACCTGCTGAGTTCAAACTACTTTGACTTATGGAGGACAACATTAAGGTATAATTGTGTTCAAACTGAGGAGTAGAAAAATACATTAAATTATATAGGGTATTTGCCAGGACTGACAGTCTACTTTAACTTAAGGAGAAATTCAAAAAAATTAGAGGTTTTACTGTAAAGCCTTTCTACAATATGTAATTCCATTAGCAAAACATAGTACACTAGTAATAATTTCTAAATGATATCTTTTTTATCAATATTTTAAAAAAATATATCAAAATTTATAGACTATTAACGGCATCAGAAAAAATAAAAGAAATTAATGGAATTTAGTTAGAAATAAGTTTATTGAGGAACTAAATGTATGTTTTCAGATTCTTCAAATGCATAGGATGGAGACTTAAGAAAAACTTTTTCTGTCAAGAACAAAAATTAAACTGTTGTCATTAAAATATTTTTTTCTTCTTATAGACTCTAAATTCTTGGAACATAATTTTAAATCAACTCTGAAACATTCTTATCACATCAAATAATTTGATCACTAACCGTTTATATATATAAAAGTCTTCAGTCATAACCAAACTATTTTTAACAATAAAAAAAATTTCATATACTTTTATTAAGTTCTATTATTTAATCTTTGAAACTAGTATAAAATATTATTCAAATATGGAGCNAAATTTTTAAATAATATGAAAATTTAGTGTTTTATTCTTTAATTGTTAATATTACAGATAATTTTCTCATGCGCTCATGTTTGTTACACTTCAAATATTATAATGCCACCATATCTGAAAACACATATGAAGAAATAAAAATTTTATTTAACAACACAAGAGTTAAATCTACCGAGACTTCATCACCACTAAACAGGAAATGACAGCACAATTTTTAATTAATCTCGTTTTATAAGCTTTAAATTTGAGGAATAATAATAATACTGAAAGAAAAACTGGGTTTTATCTAAAAATCCAAATCCTGGTAATAACTTGAGAGTAATCTCCAGTTATTACTTGTATTGCTAGTTACACTACCCAAACCTCTGTGTGAGCCTTTTAGACTTAAATAATTTAGATATAACCATACTGCTTATGCATAGTGCCAACTTGGCAATGCATCTGCATAATATGTGGGAATTGTGGGTTTAAGTCCCACTCTGGGCCAATTCTTTTCTTCCAGAACTTTCTAAATTAAAAATTAAGTATTAACTTATTTACAATTATTAAATTTATCAAAATATGATGTCTAACCACCTACATCTAGGCAAAATTATTTTATTAAATAATAGCTATATTATAGCCTGATATAATCTGGCATATCATTCTGTTCTAATATTTCTGAAACTTCAACAGATTTCTGTGTATATTACCTACCAGATAATTGTCCCACTAAATATTAAACAACTCTCTAGTATATTTGGAAATTATTATAATATTTAGAGAATTAGAAATGAGTTCAAATGATATAGTTAAATAAAAATAAATTATGTTTATAATGTTAAATTGGAATATAACAACATAGAAATTTTTTAACTATTAGTAAAATTATTATTTCTAATGAATAAATTCTTAATAAAAGTGTACAAACACAGAATACTTAGCCAAATATTTTTAGTTTTAAAAATTAACAAAAAAGAAAATGAACTTCCTCAACAATGACAAGCAGTAATTTTTAGTGGAGTCATTGCTTTAACTACATCAAGTTTTTTAGAATACCTTATTTATAGCATAAATTTAACATTACATTGTTTAAATAAAGAATTTTAAAATTCTTACAATTACATTTAAAATATCATTTACAATGACAGATTTTACTGAACATTGTAGAATTAGAATAATTAATTTAGTCCATCAATGTTACAAAATTTTGTTAAAATCATATTCTTTCCTAATCATATTACGAACATTTTCTACTTAACTCAAAAGAATCTCGACAAAACATTCTTACTACGACCTTTTATTTTCTTGTAATAAGTCCTCAGCATTTGCACAAGAAATGCAAGTACAAAAATAAATAAAACAGATGAGAAATCAAAACAGGTAAACTAACCTAGTTAAGTAGTAGCCAAAATTATGACTAAATTACTTATATTTTATCCTGAATTATTAAGAGAAATGTCAATTATGTAAAATGAACATTTTAACTTAAACTCTTGCATTAAAACTTATACCTATAGTAAAACATCTAAATTTTGAGTTTGAAAGAATCAAAAAATGCCTAGTTTGAGTTATGCAGAGTTTTACAGGTATATGAAAAATGGAAAGCTTTTATTCAAACAAAGCAGCAGAATAACCTCTTTATGCTACATTGAAGTTATTCAAAAGTCAAGTTTTGTATAATGCATTATATAAATTATCTTTAAGAAAATATCTACAGAAAAATTTAAGTAGTTTACAAATAGATCTTTATTGATATAAAAGATTGCAAGTTTTTAAAACACTAAAGACAAAATTGAAGATGGCTGCTAAAAACAAAGAACACTGGTCTAAATGTAAACATAAATTTTGAGAAAATTAATGTTCTCCAATGGAAATTAAAAGGAAATCACTAAAATAAACTTTAGATACTACAGTTTCCCTTCACTGCCTACTGTGACAAAAACCTGCTAACATTTCTGACGAATGGAGAACATAACTTTTAAGCTGCTCGACAATGCTACAGGAAAGTAATATAGTGAATTTTCTGCTAAATTGGCAACATGATGTCATTGGCTTGCTTATCCAGCTGTATTAAAACTGCTTAAACCAGGCAATGCACTAAAAGGAATTTCAAAACTTAACAAGTTGATTGTCACCTGCTGAGTTCAAACTACTTTGACTTATGGAGGACAACATTAAGGTATAATTGTGTTCAAACTGAGGAGTAGAAAAATACATTAAATTATATAGGGTATTTGCCAGGACTGACAGTCTACTTTAACTTAAGGAGAAATTCAAAAAAATTAGAGGTTTTACTGTAAAGCCTTTCTACAATATGTAATTCCATTAGCAAAACATAGTACACTAGTAATAATTTCTAAATGATATCTTTTTTATCAATATTTTAAAAAAATATATCAAAATTTATAGACTATTAACGGCATCAGAAAAAATAAAAGAAATTAATGGAATTTAGTTAGAAATAAGTTTATTGAGGAACTAAATGTATGTTTTCAGATTCTTCAAATGCATAGGATGGAGACTTAAGAAAAACTTTTTCTGTCAAGAACAAAAATTAAACTGTTGTCATTAAAATATTTTTTTCTTCTTATAGACTCTAAATTCTTGGAACATAATTTTAAATCAACTCTGAAACATTCTTATCACATCAAATAATTTGATCACTAACCGTTTATATATATAAAAGTCTTCAGTCATAACCAAACTATTTTTAACAATAAAAAAAATTTCATATACTTTTATTAAGTTCTATTATTTAATCTTTGAAACTAGTATAAAATATTATTCAAATATGGAGCGAATTTCCAAATTTGATCTCAATGTACACAGTTGATTACCAATATATACATATTAGTAACAATACATACAAGTTCTAAAATTCAAATTCTTAAATTTGTTTTGTATTGAATAATATTTTATCCTGATTCTGAATATTTAAAGAGTAAACTTAATGAAAACAACTTTTTTCTTAAATTATATCAATTACACCTAAAAATTATTTAACAACATTTTAAAACTTAGATTATATTCTAATTTTCATGTATATCATTGTCATTATTAATACAGTGTATCATAAGAAGCATTTCATTTATACAATTTATTATCATATTAATACATTTTAACAAAATTTCTCACCTATTAATATCACTTTGTTGCCATTTTCCAGGACTATTCACTTTGTTATCTAAATGAAGAATTTTTTATAAATTACAGTAAACAGCAAATGATCACAAAATAATGTAGAAGTATCTGAAGATTAATCATTTTAAATTATAATATGTATTTAGTAAATTAGTATAACAACAAAGTGAAGAAGTGAATATCCACAGATAAAAGATTGCTTACATGATCTGTCAATAGGAAGACTTTCAGGAACCATTACAAAGTCCTGTACAAAAAAGCATGTTAGTAGGTTTTTATATCCCAAAATGCAGTGTATTTCATGATAAAAATTAAATATTTAAAAGGTAATATGAGACCATTAAGACATTAATTAGACAGTTATAAAATAGGTAAAGAAAAACACCTGTTCATCTGGTGAGGATGTTTGCTTAACTTCCCTAGACACAGATATTGGTTCCTGAGCCATTTCTTCTCCTCCCATTTCTTTATCCCATCCAAGTGGTGATGGTGCCAAATTCCCTGAGAGAGGTGATCCGTATTGTGGCGTACGAGGAGAAGTAGGTGAAAGGGAATGACGACTAGGAACTGGTACAGGCGAAGCTATTTCAAAATAATTTATCAAAATTTTGAAGATGAAAAGTTTAATTTAATTTAACATTATTGTGCAGTAAACAAAAATTGCTAAACTAGAGATAATAAACTGCAACTTTTAAATTTTACACCTCTAGTTTAGCGATCTCAAAATAAGCAGTTTTTGTATACTGCACAATAATGTAATGAACAAAAATTCTTAATAATTTGTGTTCATTCCATAAAATTTTAAAGCTGTTTTTTAATTTGAAAAATAAATAGGTATCTAAATTAATTTAAAATGTGGAAAATTTTGTGAATTAATAAATACTTTTAATATTAAATGTATAATATATAAAGACAATGTGGTATAAAATGAAAAATGTATAAAAGGTTATTTTTTTCAACTAAAATGGCTGACAGTATTTACACATTAAAAATACTTGGAAGAAACTAAAACATCTTCACATTTCCATCATGTCCAATCACAACTGTTTTTCATACATTTAAAGAGAGATAGACTCTAATTAAAGGTCATCTCTGTGATGGAAGACTGTTTTGCAGGGCTTTGGAGCGACCATTTTTTTGAGTTGCTCCGCTCCAACTCCTCTCCGGCATCAAAGTATTTGCTCCAGCTCCGCTCCGTGCTCCGCTCCATGCTCCGGTTAAAATATTCTTATAGGAATTACACTAATTTTTTCTTTGATATATAAGCACATAAAAAACTTGTTTATTTACAACTAATTTATTATTAAAAAAATTAACATACAACCTTGTTGATTTTAATAAATAAAATGGCAGACAGCAAATTGTCCTTCATTGACTGCCTATTATCACTTAAAAGCAATCTAAACCTGGAAAATAGACACAACACTTGCTTGAGAAGTTGGCATGCTTGAAGTGATTCTGCATTCTTCTCTGATGCGCTCCGGATAATGGTCAATGGCTTTGAATACATTCACCTTTAATCTCCCCACATCCTCTATTGCATTGCAGTCTTTCTCAACATATTTGTCTATTTCGTTGTCATCTTTATTATGTATAGTAGAAATTTGACAGCTGTTTTCTCTTATATCTAATTCTTTTTCAAAATTGTCTTCTTCCGAATCTATATTTATTATATCACAGGTTGACTGTGAAAGCTCAACAATTGCTGGCTTTTCAGCCAAATCAATTATTGTTTGCCTTTTGATTCTCTGTTGGATGTCTGAAAGACCTTCTCTCGCTTTTATTTTTTCTGCTGCACTTAATAAAATTCTAAACCTAGAATCAACATACACTCCAGCAAGAAAATGTGTGTTTTGAATAAGCTTTTCTTTTTGCTTCTTCATGAAAGACAGAATTCCTAACACAATATATCCTTCAGTTTTTTCATCTTTATCCTGGAAAATATTTTCATGATCACCAAGTTTATTTACAGCACATGTCATGTTCGCTGCATTATCTACACAAATACTTAGTACTCGTTTTTCATCAATTTCAAATATGTTCAAAGTTTCTTTAATTTGATTTTTCACATATAAAGAGTTATATCTTCCTTCAGTATCAACAATATCCAATGTTTTTATTTCAATTTTCTCGTTTTTTTCATTTCAAAATTGTACATTGATGACAAGAAAATTTCTATTTCCACAGGTAGCAGCATATAGCTTTAAATAGCATAATTGTCCTTTTAAAGTTTGTCTTAGATTGATGTGAGCAGACTCTGCTGTGCTTAGGACATGATGCTGTTCGTCATTTAGTAATATCAGAACACCAAGCTTCTGAGCCAGTTCGCTAGCAATCTTTTGTTATTTAATGTGAAGGTAGTGAGTGGTGTCATACTCATACAAACCATCTCAACAAGTCCCTCATGGAAAGTATTGCTATCCATAGTGATTGTCATCTTCAATGATGTAAAATATGTATCAATTTTTAGTTGATCAGTTCTGCATTTCTTATGACATGACTGTGCAATAGTAAAATTGTCATGATTACGTTTTCTTTTTGCAGCGATTTCGTCTTGTTGATCCTTCTTTTTAACAAACCCTTTGTAAATTTCAGGATGATTACGCCTCACATGCCACCAAAGATTGAACTTTTTTGACACACTAGTTCCACTTGCCTTGAAGTTGCATTTTATTGATTTGCCATTTACAACATGAACACATTGTAAAGAAAAAAGTGCAGTGCATGAGGAAAGAAAAACAGCTTTAAATTATTCCCACTCAATGGTTGTGTTCCATCTTGCATGTAACTGATTTTTTATTTCCATTATCGTATTCAAATACGAATATCTCTTTAAGCTCTTCTTTTGTAAATCGACTGTCTATCATGGGTAATGGTTTTAAATTTTGGTTTGATACCATGGCTTAAATAATCAAATATTTAAGTGTTATTAATTGAGAAATTATGCATATAAACGTTCGTGCATAAAAATAACCAAATAATAATAATAATAATCTTACCTCTGCAAACAAATTACGAATTATGATATACAATTATAGCAAACTGATTGCGAACAGAAATGAACGACTGTCACATTCAAAACAAATGTAAGAAATGAATATTAGTGCTGCTCCTAGTGGTGAATTTCTGTGCTGATGATTAAAGCCACTTGTAAGCAGAGTTTAAAATCTGCTACTCATTAGCACCCCTCCCCATTAACTCCACTTCACATCTGCAATTCTCAAGAATTCAGAGAACTGGAGGTCACGAAGGGAAAGAAATAGCTTGGTCAGGGGATAGTGGAGACTGGAGAACCTTTGTGAAAGGTGGGAACCTTTCACATGGGACATATGTGGAATGGACATAAAATTCATCTGTGCTTGTGATCACCTTTCTTTTTAGTTCAGTTATTGTATTCTTAACATTTGTAACATTACAACTTATGCCACTTCCATTCTCACCGTCTCAAATATTAAATAAATATATATATCAGAGCAGTGGAGCACTACAAATTTCTGTGCTCCGGCTCCGCTCCTGCTCCGAGTAAAATTCCATTGCTCCACCTGCTCCATGCTCCAGCTCCAGCTCCGCTCCAAAGCCCTGCTGTTTTGTTCCTGTGATTGGACATGAGAGATGTAAGGGCATTTTAGTTTCTTCCAAGTATTCTTGCTGTTATTTTTATTTAATAAAAATGTCCTGTTTTATACTAAAATAAAAATACTTCTTTTTACATTTTATACTATAAAATGTAATCATCATTCAAGACACTATCATTCCTTTAACGTATGATCATAAACTTGTAAACCAGACAGAATTCATAAAATAAAACCTCTAGTTTTAGATATCCACCTATAGAAAAATATGGAGACTGCTAAACTGACAAATTCAAATATATAAAGTAATAAATTACTTACTTTCTCTTGTAACTGTTTTTAAGAATGGATGATTGAAAAATTCATCTAAAATTCAAAAGAAAGGCATTTTAGTATTACTTAATAATAAATAATTAAAAATAAAATATATTTTAATAAATATACCAAATTCCATTCGATCTCTTGCATTTCTTTTTAATAATCTAATCAAAAGATCATTTAAATTTGAAGATGTCCCAGGAGGAATTCTAAACAAAATTAAACAATTGTTTACAAATAAATTATAAAAAATATCTTAAAACAATTGTATTAAAATTATAAAGTTACAATTGTAAAAGTCCAATGTAGAATTGATTTTTTTTATTTCTTTTGATAATAAAATAGTTTTATCTTTTAACATAACATTATATAAATATTTTAGAAAGGATTCATAAATAAATAAATATGAATAATGTAGTACATAAACTAACATTTCAGCTGACATTTAAATAATAATAGGTGGTATAAATTAATCATTATTCTGTTTATTTATACTACACCAACAATGAAAAAAAAATCATTACTTGAAGTATAAAGTTTAACTTCATCAATTATAGTTTTAAAAGAAACTCGGAATTTAGATATATTTATATGGACTTGATAGAATATAAGCAGAAATTCAAAACTAGATTTTAAATATTCAGCATTGCTGTTGTAAATTCTCATATCATCATATTGCAGATTTTAAATTATGAGAATTTGCTAAATCACTTATCTACTAACAATTATTATGCCTGTCAGTTAAAATCTGTTAGTATCAAATTGAAACTGTACATAAATCAAATATGCTAAGCAGGAGATAAACATTAAAATGATGTACAACTAATGCAGAAATTACCATTTAATTTAACATTTTCAAATGATCTGCAATGCAACTATTTAAAAATATGTTTTAATAACTAAACTTGATTATAATAACAAAAGATTAAAAATACTTTATCTTAAAAATAAGCTTAATAATAGATACTAAAAGTACAGAGATGGCAAACTCTGAAAATATTTTTCAGTAAACTGATGTAATTTTCCAAAAATGCATTAGTAACTTTCACTTAAAACCTTCAGAAGTGTTATTACATTTACTATTTGTATAAAATGAAATATAGTGTTATTGATATCGTTTAATGACATCAGCAACTCTCTATTTGTAAAATTCTAAAACATAATGCTAAAATATTTTTACAAGTCTAAAAATGCTTATTTCTAAATAAATTTCTATGAGTTGTTGATATTTATATAAATATCAACAACTCATAGCCTGAGTAGTAAATACATCACCAAACGATCGCCTAAATATCGGGCTATAATACGGCTAATTAAATGATTGGAATAAAGTAATTTGACACTAGAGGTAGACGTTAGGCGCCATCTCTTAAGTAAATTAATAATTAAAATTAAAGCCCGATATTTAGGCGATCGTTTGGTGATGTATTTACTACTCGGGCTATGAGTTGTTGATATTTATATATATATATACCTCGCCGGGTGTTGCGTTAGCTGGCTGAGTGCCGCTATGGCCGTGGGCGAAGGAGTCGTCCCCAGTCAGTGATGTATTTAACCAAGTAAGGTTATATCTAAATCTAATATACTTCTGGAAGCGAAGACTAGCTCGAGGGTCTGGGTAGCGTAACTGGTAAGCGCGCCGCACGGCAAGCGGAGGCTGCGGGTTCGAGTCCCGCCCGGGCCAGTTCTTTTATTCCAGAAGATTCTAAATTTATTTATTGATTTATTTATTTAATTTTAATTATTAATTTACTTAAGAGATGGCGCCTAACGTCTACCTCTAGTGTCAAATTACTTTATTCCAATCATTTAATTAGCCGTATTATAGCCCGATATTTAGGCGATCGTTTGGTGATGTATAAATAATATTTAATTGAGATATTTACAATTTTCTCTTCAGACTAACTTTAAAGAACAAAATAATGCAAAAGCTAATTATACATTGTACAAGAATGAAAATTATTTATTAATCACAATAACATAGAACATTCAACTTGTTAATTACAGTGTTAATTATCTTTCTTTTGCAGCTTTCCAGACTGCAGCAAGTTCAACTTTTGAGAATTTTTTCTCATAACATAATAATCTGTAAGCAGTATTTTTTATTTCTTCTATAAATAAAGAATTCAAATATTTAACATTTAAATTAGGTTGAAAGACTATCATATTTTTTTCTAATCACATTAATTATTCTTTCTGTAGCAGTACTGATACAGGATATAATTAAAATATTGTTCATTAGTTTACTTAATGTCACAAATTTCAACTTTCCACTGTCAATTTTCATTACCAAAATTTTATGCTAACTTTCATCTGAAATTCTTTATTTTGGTAAAGATAAAATTAAAATTTGTCAACCTTTCCTCCAAAGTTAAATAATGAACTTCAGAAATAAATGTAAGAAAGTTACATATTTTCTCATCTCAAGGTGCAATGCCATACTAAAGTAATAGGTGTTAACTGTTACTTTGGTATGGTTCAAAAACAATGAATTCAATGAAAACTTTTTAACTACACAAAAATATACAATTACATAAAAAGTGAAAATATTTGTATTTTAACTGACACTCTTTATATGTTTTCAGGCCTTTATAAATGACCAAATCACATTTTTCTTTTCTTCAGCTTTAACACTCATTCTGTGATTTGCTACACTTATTCTACACAGTTTTAAGAGATATTGTTGCAAAATTTATGAAAGTCCCTTTAACTTACACTTAATTTTATGGATGTGAAAAACTTTCTACTGCAGATCTTTATTTATTGAAGTAAATATGGGAAAAGTTGATGTTTTGTTAATATAAATTAAAAATTTTAATTATACAAAAATATAATATAACAGCTTCTGTAACAAAGCATGTTTAACTTAAGCAGTTAAGAAGTGTCAAAAATACTAAACAACTATATTAGCTTTGTTATAAACATCAATCATCATGATTATGATTTAAGAATTTATAATTTAATTAAAATTATAGATTCTTAAAAATTACAGCATATTAATTTTTAAAAGCTCAAATTTTTTACTTCTAAAAATAAATCATAGCTTTTAAAAATTTCTAAATCAAGGGATCCAGAAATTATAAATTCTTCAATTAAAAAAATTTTTTTTTAATATTTACCTTGGCAGAAGATTTGCATTTTTTTCATAAAATTGCTTTAAAGCTTGAGGAGTTTGAGCCTATTAAAATAATAAATTTTTAATACACACATTTTATGTTCAATATAATGTGACAAATTAATGTAATATAATTAACTCTTCATTGAAAAAAAATCACAATCAAATATTCAAAAAACTTTCTACAAAAAAAAATGTCAAATAAATTGTAATTTTCTTCCAGCAACATTATTCATAACTATTTACAATAATGGAAAAATTGCAAAAAATCATTTGAATATGGATTATTTTTTAATTTGTATTTCACTTATTAAAGTTCCAAAATATTTTGTTTGAAATTAAGATTGTTATTATGTTATAAAAAGTGATAAATATACATGTTTTTGTTATAGTGAAATAAAATTAATTTATTAGAAATACTATCACTTTGTTAATCTATTGATATAAATTACAATCTAGGAAGAATAGAATAATATCAATAAGGTTAGTTAATTTCATTTAAAAAATATAAAACAGTAGTATTTATTTTGCATGTAATTTCTTCAAAATTATAAAATTTGTTGGAAACAATTATGCAATAAATTTTCAACTACTGCTGCAAATAAAATTTAACAAACAAATTCAGTTGTATTATAATATATTAAGATATTTTAAAAATGAATTTTAAAAAAATATATATAAAACCACAAAATTAAGAAAATTTATATATAAATTATTTTCTAAACATCAATTAATCAATTTTCAAAATTCTAATATTTCAATATTTTAATATATTCAAATGTTAATTTTCTTTAACAAATTAAATGTATTTTGAATACAATATACTCTTGAATATTAGGATTGGTTGACATTACATTTTCCTATTATCCCAAGCAATATTCCTCTTGATTAATCCAATCACAGAAAATTAAGATTCTTCTGTTCAAAGACTTCATCATGCCAAAAAACTTAATTTTTATAATTTTTTAAGTAAAATTGTTTTTAATATGTTATCAATTTTTAAGACAATGCATTAATTTAACTGGAAGATACACTGGATGACAAAAACAATAACACACCATGAAGGACTTGTTGGATTTGAATAAAAATTGGTATGTTGCATCATAGCTAGATATATAAATGATTAATTTTTGGGAACAGTTTCTTGTGTCATATCGCCACCAGAGGGAAGAAAAGTGCTTCCTCTGTCCGGTATAAAGGTGCACATTGTGATGACTTGTGCATATGTCCTGCGCTTGTGTTGATGGTTGTGACTTCGTTGAGTGACAGACATGCCTCTACAACGCATTTGATGGCCTTACACTCAGTTAAGTGAGTTTGAGAGAGGTCGCATCGTTGAATTGAGAGAAGGAGGATGGTCATACCGCCTAATTGGCCACCATCTGAACCGTTCTGATGGAACTGTTAGGATGTGTTATGAGCAGTGAGTACGTAGGGGTACGCATGAATGGCAAACAGGTTCCAGATGCCATCGACAGACCACCAGGAAGGAGGATCGTCTCATTGTATGTCAAGCACAGACAGTGCCTACAGCTTCATCATCTACCATTCATGCAGCAGTGGCACCTGCATTACGGAACCATGTATCCAGCCGCACCATTTCCAGGCACTTAGTAGAAGGCGAATTGGTCGCTCAACACCCAGTATGTGTTCTACCATTAACAGCCACCCACCGACGCCTCCGTCTGCAGTGGTGTCGTGCACAACAATCATGGACAGCTACCGATTGGCAGCATATTGTCTTCAGGGACGAATCCCGCTTTTTTTGGGGGCTCACGAAGACCGTGTGAGGGTATGGCAGCCTGCTGGTCAACACGTCAACCCAGCCTATACTGTGGAGTGGCACACGGGCCCAACCCCCAGTGTTATGGTGTGGGGAGCCATAACATATGACAGTAGGACACCTCTAATTGTCATGCGTACTACCCTCACAGCCCAACGATATGTGCAATACATCCTCCAGCCACATGTGTTGCCCCTCATGGCAGGGCTTCCGACAGGCATATTCCAGCAGGATAATGCCCGGCCACACACCACAGCGGTCTCCCAAGCATGCCTACATAACATTGCCACACTTCCTTGGTCTGCACGATCTCTAGATTTATCGTTAATCGAACATGTGTGGAACCACCTGGGACGCCAGCTGTGACAGCCACGGGATATGATGCATCTTGAGTCCCAGTTGCATCACGCATGGACAGATATGCCGCAGAACATTATACACAACCTTTATGCCTCCACGCCAAGGTATATCACAGCTTGTATCCGCACTAGAGGCGGCCCAATGGGATATTAGCACTTGCACTGTATTGCACATCACTGCACAATAAAGTATGTTTTTGTTTTATGGTTGCAACCATATGCCTGTCTAGCTATGACAATGTCACATACCAATTTTTATTCAAATCCAACAAGTCCTTCATGGTGCGTTATTTTTTTTGTTGTCCAGTGTATATCAATCACAATCCCTTGATCTAATCCAAAATTCAATGGCATCAATTCTATATACAGGAATCATCACATCAAATTTCAAGCTTTTCTGATTATTTACACTAGTAAGGCAAATAATATGACAAAAAAATTTTTTTGATTGAGCTGAAATAGAAGGTATCAAAATGCCCTCTATATTGGCTCAATCAAAAAACTGGCATCTAAGATTTTCTAGTTTTTGGTAAGTGCTACTGTAGGTAATCTAAAAAAAAAAAAAAAAAACTTTCATTTTCTGTCATAACAGTAAAAAAAATCATTCCTTTCTTACAAAGGAAATGAAAAATCCATTCAGATACAGTAAATTTCATTATTTCAAAACTCAGGAGACCAAAAAACAGAACTTTGAATTATCCAAATTTATTGAATCCATAAGCTGGAACTATCATATAATAAAAAACTTCATATCTTTGTCATACTTTGCAGCAGTAACTGTTTATTAAACAAATATTTATTTAAAAACTGGTGGCAATAAATAATTTAAAGTGGTGAAAAAATTTAAAACTGATGAAATAGTTGACAAATTTTTAAATTTTCCAGTGAAACTCCTGAATATGTTATAAATACAGTGGTTAGTATATGGAATGACAGTAAATTAAACATTTTCCTATGTATGTAAAATATGGTTTTAAGTTAATTTACTTTTGTTACTACTTGACAAAACTATTTAAATTACATACCTGAAAAGGAGCTTTTCCTGTTAAACATTGAAAAACTATTGTTCCAATACTCCAAAGATCTGCTTTAGCATCATACTGTAGTGACATTATTACTTCGGGAGCCTAAATTTTAATATATTAAATTAGAATTAATTTATTTTTGGTAAAAATTCATTAAATTATTTTATAATAAGTTTTCATAATAAATCTTACTTATATGAATTTTATATAAAAAGATTATGTATATACATTGTTTAAATTTTAAACCTTTAAGAAACTCAAATTAAATTATAATTTAGTAAGTTTTAATTTTGTTTCATATTTTAAAATATTTACCTGGCAAATGTAATACATATTTGATTATTATATTAAATATATAAAAAAGTAATTAAATGGTCAAAATATACATTTAAAAAAGTTCATGATATTTGAATTACACAAATTTAGTTTAATACAGACCAAAGAAATGTGACAAAATTTTGTTTAGCACAACAGTGTTTCAGTTGACCCAATATTTCAAAAATATTTTTGGTATTTTGTTTTAAAATTAAGTTTTATTATTAATGAGATTAATGTTTAGGTCTATGGTAACTATTATGATGTTTCAAACATGTTGCCATTACTTTCAACTTACATATTTTCAGAGATGGAATTCTCTACTTTGTACTGCATTATGTCTTCATACAACATGTAAATTAGCTCACTAATTTTTAAAATAAATTTTCTGATAAATAGCACTTAGAATAGAATTAATGTTTTGATTAAAGATTTTATTGTGGCATATATAAAGCTCTCAAAAACTATTATTATTAATCAATGCCAAACAAATGCTGTAATGCTTTGGGTTATTTTTTCACTGCTATTAATTAAATTTCAAATAATTTGTTACTAGAAATAGTCATTAAATTTAGTAAGAGATGGTGCCTAATTACTACTTCTAGTAACAAATTAATTGAAATTTAATTATTAATAGTAGCACAAATAGTCTGATGCATTATGGTAATCATTTGGCATTCATTTTATTGCAACAATACTATCAACATATTAGGCAAACAAATTAAGAAAATTAATCATTCATTTACATATAAATGTTAGTTTCAATTTACAAAATTTCTATTTTACACAAAAACCAATGTATCATGTAAATATAAAATTAAGCATTATATGTATCAGGACAACAGAACCAAATTATCAATAATAGATGAATAATAGATAGATCAATAATAGAAAAATCAATCCCATACTGCCTATTAGGCATTTAATATTTAATGGTTAACTACAATTTCAAAATGTTTAGATATTTAAAACTAACAGTTTATACAGGATTTACAATTATTTTTTTTTTATAAATTCCCAATATTAATAATTCACAAACATATTTCTAAAAATTATCAAACAGTAAATTATTATCCATCTGTAAAAGCAATAAAGGTTGAAATAAAGATAAAATTTGTGTATCAAATTCTAAATGAAAAAATAGTCAACAATTTAATCTTGTAGTTTCTTCTTTACGAGCAGAACCTAGCATCTGAATGAAAATTATTACATCTTTCATTTATGAGTTCCAAATACCAGAAAGAATATTCACAGTCATAAATAAAAATGGAAGTTTGATTGGATATTAGTTTTAAAAAGCATTATTCAAAATCCACTTTTTATCCATTGTTTCTAAACCAAATTGTCACTTCATTTTCAGTTTTATCTCATTTCTTTTATTTTCTGAGAAGTGAAATGGATAACATTCAGAACAATCATTGCATCATACCTTGCAAATAGTAAAATAATTAATTAAGGGTCAGAGAAATTTCACATTTTCAAATAAATTAGAAATTTTTCTGTTATACCTTATAATCCATTATTTAACTTATAAATCAGATAACTACAAAATTTGTATAATTTAAGAGAAATGGCATTAACCTATAAAAGTAATTTCAATTCATTTTCATATAAATGATCACAATGTTTCTAAGCAAGTAATTATCACACCACTTACCCTATCATCAACATATACTTTGAAATTCTCTGTTCAAATCATCACATTTAATATAATATTCAATCATGTATTATTTCCAATATGTATCAAGAAATTAAAACTATATTACAGTAGAGTCCCAAAAACTCGGCCTAATGTGGACCAAAGTGTGGCCGAGTTTGTGAAAATGCCAGATTATCCAGAATGGGGTTAAAAAAGAATAAATATGAGTGTTTCCTCAGAAAATACTGTATTGTACTTGTATGTATTGTTTGCTTGAGAATACAACAGAGAATAAACTGCCCAAATACCCTTAAACAAAGGAAAAGTACGTACTTTATAAAGGCTTAGAGCCTTTACTACATGAAAATGAAAATTAATGAATACACAGTGTACACAGTGTACAGTAATTTACCTAATAAGAAAGACCTCAGAAAAATACTTTATGATGCATAAAGCTGTCTATAATGAAAATTAACTAGGGTTTATTCGCCCTCCAGGATGTGGCCGAGTTATCTGGACTGCCGGATTATCGAGTGCCGAGTTTTCAGGATTCTACTGTATTATTAATTATTATGTTAAAAAGTTTTTTCAAAGCTATCTATCACAGTAACATATCAAAACTATGGCTAAATTCAAAGTATAGTTCATCATTATTAGTNTTTAACATAACATTATATAAATATTTTAGAAAGGATTCATAAATAAATAAATATGAATAATGTAGTACATAAACTAACATTTCAGCTGACATTTAAATAATAATAGGTGGTATAAATTAATCATTATTCTGTTTATTTATACTACACCAACAATGAAAAAAAAATCATTACTTGAAGTATAAAGTTTAACTTCATCAATTATAGTTTTAAAAGAAACTCGGAATTTAGATATATTTATATGGACTTGATAGAATATAAGCAGAAATTCAAAACTAGATTTTAAATATTCAGCATTGCTGTTGTAAATTCTCATATCATCATATTGCAGATTTTAAATTATGAGAATTTGCTAAATCACTTATCTACTAACAATTATTATGCCTGTCAGTTAAAATCTGTTAGTATCAAATTGAAACTGTACATAAATCAAATATGCTAAGCAGGAGATAAACATTAAAATGATGTACAACTAATGCAGAAATTACCATTTAATTTAACATTTTCAAATGATCTGCAATGCAACTATTTAAAAATATGTTTTAATAACTAAACTTGATTATAATAACAAAAGATTAAAAATACTTTATCTTAAAAATAAGCTTAATAATAGATACTAAAAGTACAGAGATGGCAAACTCTGAAAATATTTTTCAGTAAACTGATGTAATTTTCCAAAAATGCATTAGTAACTTTCACTTAAAACCTTCAGAAGTGTTATTACATTTACTATTTGTATAAAATGAAATATAGTGTTATTGATATCGTTTAATGACATCAGCAACTCTCTATTTGTAAAATTCTAAAACATAATGCTAAAATATTTTTACAAGTCTAAAAATGCTTATTTCTAAATAAATTTCTATGAGTTGTTGATATTTATATAAATATCAACAACTCATAGCCTGAGTAGTAAATACATCACCAAACGATCGCCTAAATATCGGGCTATAATACGGCTAATTAAATGATTGGAATAAAGTAATTTGACACTAGAGGTAGACGTTAGGCGCCATCTCTTAAGTAAATTAATAATTAAAATTAAAGCCCGATATTTAGGCGATCGTTTGGTGATGTATTTACTACTCGGGCTATGAGTTGTTGATATTTATATATATATATACCTCGCCGGGTGTTGCGTTAGCTGGCTGAGTGCCGCTATGGCCGTGGGCGAAGGAGTCGTCCCCAGTCAGTGATGTATTTAACCAAGTAAGGTTATATCTAAATCTAATATACTTCTGGAAGCGAAGACTAGCTCGAGGGTCTGGGTAGCGTAACTGGTAAGCGCGCCGCACGGCAAGCGGAGGCTGCGGGTTCGAGTCCCGCCCCGGGCCAGTTCTTTTATTCCAGAAGATTCTAAATTTATTTATTGATTTATTTATTTAATTATTAATTTACTTAAGAGATGGCGCCTAACGTCTACCTCTAGTGTCAAATTACTTTATTCCAATCATTTAATTAGCCGTATTATAGCCCGATATTTAGGCGATCGTTTGGTGATGTATTTACTACTCGGGCTATGAGTTGTTGATATTTATATATATATATAT